TATTTTATATGTATGTTGTATGTATGTATACCCCATGCTTGGAGTCTCCAGACAGTTGTGAACAACCATGTGGGTGCTATGAACAAAACCCCAGACATGCAAAACAGTAAGTGCTCTTAGCCACTGAGCCATCTCTCTAGCCCCCAAAATTAATTCTTTTTTTTTTTTTTTTTTTTTGGTTTTTATGAGACAAGGTTTCTCTGTATTGTTTTGGAGGCTATCGGTCCAGCCCGGCCTCGAACTCACAGAGATCTGCCTGCCTCTGCCTCCCGAGTGCTGGGATTAAAGGCGTGCACCACCACCGCCCGGCTAATTATTTTTTTTTTAATATTTTGGTAGGCCAACAAGATGACTCAGCAAGGAAAGGTACTTGCTACCAAACCCGATGCCCTGAATTCAATCCCCAGAACCCACATCATGGAAGCAAAGAACCACCCTGAAAGTCTCCTGGATTCCACTTACGCATGTGGCACATATTCATATACACATAAACACATACATGCACAAGTAAATAAATTAATTTTAAAATGTGTTTAAAGCATAATAATGAATTAAAACTCTGTATAGATAACAAGATGTACATGAATGTTTCTTTAAATACTTTGTTTTCATAGGCTGTATCTGTGGATTTTAGCTTCAGAATGTAAAGTAATGCTCAAACAACACCCCAAATATATGTGGAATATTTTTAGCATTCATAGCTCGTTGAATACCTGTTTAATAAAATCTTTGGTCTGAACAGTCCTTGTGACTCATAGAGCATTTTCCTGTAAATGCTTCCACTGGTGTCTGACTCAGCCTCTCTAATCCTGATTTATCTCATTTAACCTGTAAAATGGGGAAGAAAATAGTTCTTGCCCATAAGGTATTTAGCAAATGAGACTACTTATGTAAAGGCTTTTATGTAAAGTCCCCAGTGTTAGGTAGGTAGTGTATTACTAAACAAAATAAAGAAATGTTGAAGTACCAACCCAGAAAGAATGCACAATAAATACCCAAGTGACAAAATTCACAGCTGGAATTTGGGATATTGTTAAATAATATACCTCTTATTTTTCTTTGGTTTTAGTCGTTCTTAAACCCATCTTTGAAAAAAATGGTGCTTGGATTACAGTAAACGACTTTTCATTATCCTGAGTTTTTTTTTCTTCCCATTGTCACAAATAATTTCCTCTGAAGTCAGTTCTTCCCCTCTAGCCTAAGCAATAAAGAAAAGACGCCATCTACATGCAGTGACCTCATCAGACCAGGACACAGAGAGGTCAGGTCTCCTGCCACCCTCTCCACTTCCGCCCAGACACATGCGATCCAAATGCCTGTACCTTTTTACGTTGATGACTTGGCTCAAGACCTTGGAGCAGTCATCACTAGAATTAGCAGGCCTCTCTGAGAACACAGGAAAAGGAGCAAAGTGGTGCCAAGGGCAGACTTCAAGCCTCTAAGGCACAGGATGCCTGTGGAGTGGGCTGCTCGGCTCTGCATCATGGTGGGTTCTTTTTTCTTGCCATGTGGCCTCTTGTGTTCCTTTCAACTCTTGTTACCACAGATAACACCTCAGAGTCCCTGGAAATCCTGCTTTGGTAAAACCTCTGGCTCAGCCTTATGCTGGGGGCTGTGAGGTTGAAGTTTCTGTGTATGCCACATCTCAGGATCCACTATATCCTCCCCTCCCAGGTTGCTGATTTATCCTCATCCCTTCAGTGTCTCTTTTGTCGTGTCAGACATTTGGTATCTTGTTTGTTCTTGATTCTCTTTTTACATTGATGTGTTACTACTGCCTGCCCAACAGTGTGATGTATATCCGAGTGTCAGAAGAACCCTTTTGGACAGTCTACTCAGAGTGTGTCATTTGTTGACTCATGCATGTGACGGGCCCTAAAATAACCGCTGAACTGAGAGTACTCTGGGACCCCAAGGTAACATGTGGAGTTTAGCCTGGTCCAGGAGTGAGGGGATCTTTGTGTGGCCACTAGTGAGTTTGAGCAGAAAAACAAGTCATGAGTCAGTATCCTTCTCTTTAGATGAGTTAAATCAAATGATTCACCAGAGACTCTGTGTGTGTGTGTGTGTGTGTGTGTGTGTGTGTGTGTGTGCGCGCGCGCGAGTGCACGCGCGTATGCAGAAGAGAGCAAACAGGCCCATAGAGGACCCCCACAGTAGATAGGGGACCCACTCCACAAGGGCTGCCCATTATAAATGCCTGTCATGTGAAGAAGTGTGTGAGTACCTTTACAGTAAGGTTGCACAAACTATTCCTGCAGCTACATAAAGAGGTGAATTCTGTGACCATCACCAGCATCGAGTGTGGGGTGGTGAATTTGCTAATATACTGTGTCTTTCTTTGGTACTCATTTGATAATGAAACTGAACATTGACATTTTTAGTTCCTATGGGAGAGTATCACTGAACATTTTCATTTCCTAAGAAAGAGGCACAGTAATCCTCCCATGTTCTTGTCTGTGTTTAGGACCAGAGCCTTAATGCTTTATCAAGGTCACAGTTGAGGACACCCTATATTTCAAAATAGTTCATATTTGCAGCTACCTTAATAATAAGCACTTAATTAATATTTAGCCTGGTAGGGTTGCTGCTGAGTAAATTTTGACTTCTATTACTGTATAAACTCAGAAGTCAGAAACACCCGCTCTCCTTTAAACAAGTTTGTCATTGGTGTTTTCCTTGAAACTCCTATTTAATTCCAAAGTTCATGGGATTTGCTGTGATGTCAAGTAAACGAAACATCAGAAAAGAGTTTAGACACCTCTTGGCAGTGAGTGTGGCTTAAACAGCCCCTTACCCTGAGTTGCTGCAGTCTAACTACAGCATCTCTGTGTTCCCACCGGAGGTCCCTTCTCTGCAGCACTGATGTGGAACCTGGAGGTCTCTCCCCCAAGCCTGGTGAAGGCACTGGGAACGGGTCACATTCTAAGGAGGCACACAAGATAGAACTTCCCCAAAGCTCCTGTCTGTTCTTCAGTTTTACTAGGATGTGTGAAACCCCAGTAAACATTGACCTATTGCTGTCAAGGGGCAGAATGGTGTTTGGATGTGATGCTTTTTGAGTTGGAAACTGTGTGTGCAACCAGGAATCCTGCAACCCTGGCAACTGTTGGTTAAAGCATTGCCATCTGCAGTTGTCTGTAGTCCTCAGTCCCCCTCTTTCCCTGCCTGTCCTCATCCAGGCTGAGGAGTGTAAAAGTCAAACTGGATATTGCTGAGGTACAGCCTGACTCTCAGTTCTAGCTTTGCTCTTAAATGACCGGACTTGGAGTTACAGAAGGGCTGTGTGCCTGCGTAACACACTCAGCTAGGTGTGTGAAATACACACTGGTCTCACAGTGAAGTTATATCACTGTAGCTCTTGTCTGTCTGTCTGATTAGTATGGAATTTTGTAATTAGCCAATGTGAACATTTCTGCTGCTAAGGCTGCTGACTGTGCTATTAGACACACTAAGACTTTGACTGGAAAAGAGTTTAATATTTTGAAGAAATTAAATATGAACACATTTTGAATCAATAGTATGCCCTTGCTTCAGCTTTCCTTCAAGGAGAATGAGGCAATGTACCCCATGTCCTTGGGGAGACTAGGGATTGTGTTGGAGGACAGTCTGGTGAGCTCCTTTCCCTTACATTAAAGGAAATAGAAAGTCTGTATTCCCAGGATCATATTCTAGGGCGAGGGTACTGAATGTTTCTGCTTATCTGAAAGTTGCTAGTGCCAAGTTTAAAAATCTGAAGACAGCACACATCTGAGAATCTGACAGCTTGCATTCTGTTTTCACTCACTCACTGTGTAACATTAGGCAAGTTGGCTGGCCTCTTTGATAACTTGTTTTCCTACCTGTAAAATGAAGCTGTTATCACTCGCTTGCAAGTGTTGTAGGAGCTGAATGAAACAATAGCGTATGCATAAGGTATAGTGCATACATAAGGCACGGGGCATGGGCATATAGAAGGCATGCTGCATGTATAAGGCCTTATGTCTTATGCCTTTTCATTAAATCTACGAGTTGTTAACCAGATTTTTCTCATGATTAGTCTCAACTTATAGGACATCTTAAAACAGCACCTCTATTCTGGGTCTCCCCAGCTTCACAGAAATGTAAGAACTTTGGGTAAAATTAAAAGTTACAATGACATAAAAAGTTTAGAGTAAAGCAAAGCCTACTAATATTGCTAACTAATTTTCATTTTGTTTATATAAGAAAGAAGTTTTACTTCTCATTCTCATAATAATGGCAAAATTGTGTTTGACATTTGACATTCAGTTCTTTCTCCCTGTCCCCAGAAATAATCAAGGGCTACATTTGACTAGTCAAGATTTATAGAAACAAAGATGTCTTACTTTTGGAGTGGGAGCTGCAGAAACACGTGTAGTTTTTTCCTTTGACCCTGGTCATTCCCTGGTTATTCCCAAGACACAAGACACCTGATGTATCATCATGATGGCTTTTTTTTTCTTTTGGTTTTTGGAGACAGGGTTTCTCTGTGGCTTTGGAGGCTGTCCTGGAACTAGCTCTTGTAGACCTTGCTGGTCTCGAACTCACAGAGATCCATCTGCCTCTGCCTCTCAAGTGCTGGGATTAAAGGCGTGTGCCACCACTGCCCGGCCATGATGGTTTCTTATACAAGGTACCTGGGAACCCTTGGAGAAGGTGATCCACATGCAGGCCAGGGACACTTTTCTAAGCGGGGAGTGAGTTCAGCAGGTGTCCAGAATGTGTAGGAATGGTGAGGTAACTGGGTAATGCTTCTCCAAAAATGGCACCTATTATGTCAGTGGGACCTCAGATGTCTACTTTTGGTTTTGGGTTATTTTATTTTTCAAGACAGGGTCTCAAGTAACTTAGGTTGGTTTCAAACTTGTATGTAATGGAGGATGACCTTGAACTCATGATCCTCCAATATTTTTAATAATTGTGTCTGAGTTGGGTAATCATATGTGGCTCTCTGGCTTCATGTTTTGGCATCATGCTAAGCTTTTTCTTTTCTTTTCCAGATACTTACTGGAGCAAGATTTCCCTGGTATGAGGATTGGCCCAGAGCCTACCACAGATTCCTTCATTGCTGTGATGTATGGGGAGACCGAGGGAAGCACCCCTGGGAACGCTTTAGTTGTGGACCCCAAAAAGCCGTTCCGAAAGCTTAGTCGCTTTGGAAATGCTTTCCTGAACAGGTAAGGTCCGGCAAGCTGCAACCCTTATCAGGTTATTTAAATTTCTCTTCACATTATTGCCTGTCATGTGTAGTCAAAACAGAAGAAAGACAGAGCATGTGTTGTGGAAGAGTAAAGTGTGTGGGGAGAGGGATGCTGATCAATCACATTCTAAGACTGTCGGAAAACACAATTATTTGCATCTGTGCTGAGTGACTTCCCTGCACATAGCTGAGGCCCAAGATGGACATTATAGCTGCCCAGTATGAGGGAAAATGTCTAATAATTTGGTTTGCACCAGAATAGTTCAGGTTGCCCAGGTCCTGTCACTAGCAGTGTTAAGTAGCAGTAGGACAGCCACTTCTCAGATATGATACACAGGGCTTCCCACACTCTGGAAGCTTAGCTCAGAGAAGACATAAGACCCCCTGACACAGCCGAGCATTGGTGGCGCATGCCTTTAATCAAAGCACTCCAGAGGCAGAGGCAGGCTGATCTCTGTGAAATCGAGGCCTGCCTGGTCTACCAAGTGAATTCCAGGACAGGCTCCAAAACAATACAGAGAAACCCTGTCTCGAAAAACCAAAAAAAAAAAAAAAAAAAAAGAAAGAAAGAAAGAAAGAAAGAAAAGAAAAAAGAAAAAAAAAACCTGACATCCAGATTTGGTCTTTTGATTCAGGATAAGCCAACCCTCCCCCACCCCCCCAAAAAAAAAAAAAAAAACAAGTGAAAAGAGGTCTTGAACTCACTCTGTAGACCAGACAGGCCTTGAACTTGATGTCATCCTGTCTCTATCTTCTAGAAGCTGAAATTGCAGCTGTACCACAGGCCTGACTACCATATTTTCTTATCTCGTTCTTTGTTGGTGGGCACCTGAGCTGCTTTCATGTCTTAGCTATTGTAAATAGTGCCACAAGAAACATGGCTGTGCAAATAGTTCTTGTGCATTCGACTTCATTTTCTCCCAGTGTGTTATGTACACAGGAATGAGACAGCTGGGTGACAGGTAGTTCTTAGTTATTTGAGGACGATATATGTTTTTTGTAGTGGCTACCCCACCTGATAGTCACCACAGTGTATAAAGGTTCCTTTTTCTATTTCATCACCAGCATTTTTTAAAAAATAATATCCATTCTACCTGGGGTAAGGTGGGATCTCATTGTAGTTTATATTTTTATCCCTAATGGTTATTGATATTGAACATTTTTTCATGTGTTTAACTGACATTTTTATTTCTTCTGAGATCATTTGGCCATTTTTTTTATTGGATTACTGGTTCTTTGGGAGTTACTGTCTTTAATTTTGAGTTTGTTCTATACTCTATTTCCCATTATAGTATATAGGTTGTGTTTTTTTTTCACTATGTTGATTTTCTTTGCTGTGCAGAGGATTTTTAGTTTGAGATAATGCTGTTTGTCTCTTGTTTTCTGTGCTTTTAGCCTTATTTGGAAAATTAAGTTCATGATTGGGACAGTTAATATTGTTAAAATGTGTATATTTTCTTTTAAAAACCCCTTTGTCTTTATTCCTGCCGTTCCTTCACATCCCTCTTTTCCCTCTTTGGCTTTAACGACTGGGGAGCCAACCATTAGCTAGAAGTGGAGGACCAGCTCCAGCCTGCTTAGGAAGAGGAAGTAGGGCTGGCATTAAGACACAGCAGGAGACATGAGCTGCACTTCTCCTTTCTAGATGTTCCTAAAAATAAGAACAGCCCCTCCCTCTGACTGCTGTCTGTCCAGAGCCTGAGAGGCTTCATTCTTGGGGACTCTGGAATGAACACTTGCACAGTGGCTGTGCTGACAGCTGTCCAGGCAGCCTCCAAGATCCCTTCTATGAGCAGACTCCTCCTTTAAGGCTTTCAAATTTTGAATGACAAGGTTCACTGTCTTAGAATTTAAAATGTGCTAAAAATAATCCATGCATTATACATTCGAGTATTAATTGAGGCCAGGATAATGGGAAAACAAACAACTATACAGCATGTGTCTAGCGCTGCCCCAAACTTTAGTTGTATATGCAACATGGAAAGCTATATTAACTTGTAAGTCCTCATGAAGATGCATGATGTGGCTGCTACCATTATCCCCAAGCAGTGGCGAAGAACTGATGAACAGCAAGGGTGAGATAATGTCTTTGGGGTCACTCAGCCTGGTGGCGGAGTTGGAATTGAACCCAGCTCAACTGGCCTCAGTGATGCAGTATTCAAACCCTGCCTACTACCGCCCCCATTTAACTACAAAATAGCTCTGCAGTGATGACAATGGAGAAGATACTATCTACCAAGTTATAGTTCACATAATTTTATCAGTACTATGCTTGTGGGATTAATAAAGAATAAAATGGCTGTTAACAAGGTGTTTCTGTCCCACCACCTACCTAGTTCCCAAATAATGACGCGGAGATTTTTTATTGATTATGAAAGCTCAGTCATAGCATAGGCTTGTTCCTGTCTTTTATAACTTAAATTAACCCCTTTATATTAATCTATGTTCTGTGTTGTGGCATTACCTCTCTTCCATCTGTACCTCCTATTTCTTCTCCATGTCTCCTGCACACCTAGATTCCTCCTCCTCTTCCTTTCTCTCCCTGGAAATCCCACCTATACCTCCTGCCTAGGTCTCGATTGTTCAGCTTCTTATTACACCAGTCTCAACAATATATCTTCACACAGTGTACATCCCACAACAAATGGCCAGTTCACAAGTAAGAAAGCTAAAAGCAAAGAAGTGATTTGCTGAAGAAAAGGTGATCAGGAAGAGGCTGAATTCAGGTTTCCCTCTTCCTACCATTTGTCACCCTGTGTCCCAGCACTGAGGAATGTCTGTCCTTCAAGCCATCCTGGTGGCTGTGCCTGTGTGAGGTTCACAAGTACAGGATGTACCTCATGGGAATCCACAATGCTGATAGCCCAGTTAAGTGGTGTCTGCATGACAGGGCTGCTGCCTCACCCAGTGCAATAAGAAGGAGCATCAGTTAGGGTTAGTTAGTTCAAAGTCTGTGTGTGTGTGTGTGTGTGTGTGTGTGTGTGTGTGTGTGTGTGTGTGTGTGTGTGTATAGCAGCAGGATTAGCACCAAAGGTGGGAACTCTTAGCATGACACACTTTTCTGGAAACTAGGTCAAAACATAATAGGAAGGAAAGCTAGTTGTTTTCTGGGTAGAGCTTTCTCCCTAGATCTTGATGACAGGGACTTCTCATAACTTCAGCCACTGCTCCCAAGGGCATCTTTAAAAGAGTTAAAAACCTCACAGGATGCTTAAAGTCAGGTGATACCTGGAGGGTGATACCACCTTCATCCATTAAACAAACCTTGGGGACCCGAGTCCCCTAGGGCAATTACTAAAAGACTAAAGGATCAGTGGTGATACATTTCAGAGAAATGGAGATGAATTCCTGAAAAGACAGGTTTGAATCAGCGAATAGCATACTTAAACAGTACAAGGGGGAATTAAGTTTAGAACAAAAAAGAGTTTGATGGAAACAAGGCCTGCCTCAAACTCCCTCCACCAACCCGTTTCATCTGAGAGAAGTCCCAGCACCCTGTTTTGGAGCTGGTATTCCAGCATGTATTAGGAGGCAGTTCACTTCACAGAGAAGGCACAGACACTGCCCACAGCACTCTGCATGTGAGTCCTGAAAGACACCAATGGGGCCTGATATTTTCCTCTAGCAGTCTGCATATAAATTACATACTATGGGTTTCCCTCAGTATACTTTTATAAAAATGGCAGTACTTTAAAAATACAGATAGCTCCAGATACTGTTTTTAGTTTTAGCATCTAGTATAATTTTTAAATGACTGTTTTTCACAAAGAGATTTATTTTATTTTCTCTCTCTCTCTCTCTCTCTCTCTCTCTCTCTCTCTCTCTCTCTCACACACACACACACACACACACACACACCTGTACACATCTGTCTATGCATGCATTTGCCCACAATTACTTAGGTTTTTCCCATTTATCTTTCACCTTAGAACTTGAGGTGATTCTGGGTCACAAACCATTGTTCTTTTGTTTTTGTTCTTGTTCAGACAGGATCTCAGTATGTCTTTCTGGCTAGCCTGTACTCCCTTTGTAGACCAGGCTAGTTTTTGAACCCAGAGATCTATTTGCCTCTGCCTTCTGAGTGCTGGAATTAAAAATGTACGCTACCATACCCAGGTACAATCTCTTAGGTTTTTGTTGTTTGTTTTGTGTTTTTTTCACAAAACAAACAGAGTTTCTTTGTGTAGCCCTCAGTGTCCTGGAACTTGCTCTATAGACCAGGCTGACCTCTGCCTCCCAACTGCTGGATTAAAGGTTGTTTTGTTTTTATCACTGTTATTATTGTTTTATATATATGGATGTTTTGACTGTATGTGTGTTTGTATACCACATGCATGCCTGCTGCTGGCAGCCTCCAGAAGAGATCTTCAGATCCCCCTGGAGCTGGAGTTATAGCCACCATATGAGATCTGGGATTCAAACCTAAGTCCTTGGGTAGAGCAGCCAGAGTTCTTAACCACCAAGCCATCTTTCCAGGTCCCAAACCATTGTTCCTGATTGACAGCTGCCTGTATGATTTTAGTTCTGCTATTTCAGGAAAGTATCTTTCCTAGGTTTGGGCAGATCCTTCTAGGCTGGCACACTGCTTCTGGCTTTCCTCCTGGCAGTTGAGAGAGGGGCATTTATGCAGTCTAGATGTGAACATTACTTTTTCCTGGCACTAGAAAATTAGACCAACCATTTATAGTGGGGCTTTGTGATATTTAGTTGCTTGAGTCTTTTTGTAGGTTTTCTGTTTACGTCATATAATCTCTGGGTTTGCATTCATTGGTAAAGCAGGCAAGCTCAAAGGAAGTATTTTGAAACTGCTTACTCCCTTCCTGTTACGACTTGAGCTTAATGACAAACCTGGTAGAGTTGCATAGAGAGTCTTAGAGACCTATGCAAGTGAGATTGCTCACAGTCTACATCTCCTGTCTCTTCACCACTACCTAACTCTCCGTACCGTTAGGTATAACACAGGCTGAACATGGAAGCTCCAGGCCAGTGACACATCAGTCCTTTGTTTCAGGGTATTATCCTGGGTGTGGTAAAGAGACTTAGCAGTGTTTCCACTGTGTGCAATAATAGTAGTAACCATATGGTCAAGACACACCCAGGACTGCCTGCTTATATCTCAACTCCTTCACTTGTCACCAGTGGGTTGTGACAGGTGATAGTGTGTGGTCCTTCCAAGCCCCAGTCTGCCCTTTTGTAAGGCCTCTCAATTGCAGTAAGAATTTACTTCATGAATATATAAAGTAGAGCAGGCCTGGAACATAGTCAAGGGTTAGTCAATACTGGTGTTAGTATCATAATTACTGCAAACCTTATTGTTCCATTGAAAAGTCAAAATCAATATAAGGTGCTGGCCAATTCTTTACAAGTCTAGTTTTTTGGGGTTTTGGTTTTGTTTATAGTTGTTTTGGGGGGGGTGTTTTTGTTTCTGTTTTTGTTTTTTTATTATTTTAATTTTAAATAGCTTGTTTTACATGTCAATCCCAGTTCCCTCTCCCTCCCCTCCTCCCGCACCCCCCACCACCCCCTCCCAGCCTCCCACCCTATTGCCAATTCCTTCCACATAGGGGATATCTAGAGTCTGTCATTTCACTCAGGGTAGGGTCCAGGCACTCCCCCTAAGCGTCCAGGCTGAGAGAGCATCCCTCTTTGTGTTATGGACACACGATTGTCGATCTCAGTGTCTGTGCCACTGGTGTTATGTTCAGGAAGTGGTCTCCTGTACCAACTCGTTGAAGAGTATCTCCCACTTTCTCTTCTAAAAGTTTCAGTGTGGCTGGATTTATGTTGAGATCTTTGATCCATTTGGACTTAAGTTTTGTACAAGGCGATAAACATGGATCTATCTGCAGTCTTCTGCATACCAGTACCCAGTTATGCCAGCACCATTTGTTGAAGATGCTTTCTTTTTTCCATTATATAGTTTTAGCTTCTTTGTCAAAAATAAAGTATTCATAGGTGTGTGGGTTAAAATCAGGGTTTTCAATTCGGTTCCATTGGTCTACCTGCCTGTTTTTGTGCCAATACCAAGCTGTTTTCAGGACTATAGCTCTATAATAGAGCTTGAAGTCAGGTATGGTGATGCCTCCTGAAGTTCCTTTATTGTATAGGGTTGTTTTGGCTATCCTGGCCTTTTGTTTTTCCATATGAAGTTGATTATTGTTCTTTCCAGGTTTGTGAATAATTGTGCCAGAATTTTGATAGGGATTGCTTTGAATCTGTTGGCTGCTTTTGGCAAGATTGCCATTTTTATTATGATGATCCTACCAATCCAAGAGCATGGGAGATCTTTCCATTTTCTGGTATCCTTTTGATTTCTCATCCTGCTCTCTATTCTTCCCCCAACACAACTTTCCTGTTCCCCTATGTCCTCCTCTCCCTTCCTCTTGTCTCCCTTAGTTTTTTAATTCATAAAAAAGTATATATTTATTTAGCAGGGGAGGGGTGGTCTAATTGCTACTGTGAGTGTGTAGAAGTCACTGAACAACCTGTGGGAACCATTTTTCTTTTTCTACCATGTAGGTCTTGAGGATTGAACTCAGGTCATCAGAAATGACAGTACCTTTACCTACAGAGCCATCTTGCCAGCCCAAATTTTTTTAAAAACATTAATCATTAAATTAGAATTTTAGCTTTTGGAAGCAATTCTAAGTAATCTTATACTCTTACTTCCCCGTGTTCTATGAGGCACAGCCAGTGACCTGCTTGAGACCTTATGATCCCTGCCGTTACTTTATCCTGTGAACCTTTGCTGTCCTTGACTTTCCCTAGAGATGGAAGTAACATGGGGAGCCAGTAAAGGATCTTGGTTTCTTTCTTCTTTTACCTTGGGAAACAGAAATCATCAGGTCAGTGGGAGGGACCTATGAGAGCTGAGAGAGGCCCTGGATTTCTGCAGTATGCCAGCCTTTTGTGTGAAATAGAGAAGGCCACATGTCTTCTCTGATTTAGCCACTCCAGGAAAGAGTGGGAAATCCATCTTGGAAATATTCCAGCAGAAACCTGCAGCTGGGGACTGCCAGACCTGTCCTGCTGTTAGAGGCACGGCAAATCTTGCCTTTCACCTCCTTTCTCAGGGTGGAAAGGTAAGTGGCGATTGCCATCGTGATGTTAGGAGTTCCTGATTACAGTAGAATGTGGTTTTAGGAACATGCCCACATATGCAGACCTAACCTTGCAGTACCCGCTGTGGTGCCCTAAGGGCCCAGTGTCTGCTTGTGCTCTCTAGCCTCCTGCCCCAGTCACACTCCATGAAGTTTCTTTGATAGAATGGAGTCCAGTCTTGCACACAGGGCCTCGGCAGCCCCTTCTCTGGTCCCCATGGAGCCCTGAAAGACACCTCCTCACCCTTTTTGGCAGTTGTCCTTGCTGCTGTGTGGAGATAGCTCAACAGTATTGCCTCTTACTCTGTGGCTCATACTCCTGACCTGGGACCTTGACATGCTCTTGCTGTACATTCCAGGGGTAAACACTGTGGGAATTTTAAGTCCTTCTGTTAGCCTAAAATCTAGGATTTTGTGTTTTAGAAAAATTAATACTGAGTGTGAGCTCGTGATTTTAGAGAATTATCAGCCTCCTTGTGGGAACAGTTTGTGTAAAATAGTTTCACAGAGGTACAGTATGTTCTGCATTACCACCTGTTTCAGGATAAACTGACAAGAAATGGTGTGATGTTTCTCCCTCACTTCTCTCCGGGAACTTAAACAGTGATCAGTGGCTCCTGTGTGCTCTGATCACATACTTGATCTGCTCACTGGGCTTAGGGTACAAGAAAGGCCAGAGAAAAAGATAAATGAAAGGTTTCTCTTACATGTATTTGGCTATATTTTAACATTATGGAGATTTTCAACTTTATGCACTGAGTTCTACTCATCTGACTTAGGAGGTACTAACTTGTAGTCTGCCAGCCACACGTTATTGCAAAACCCCATGATGTCTTAACTAATCCATGCTTCAAAGAGTTGCTTTTCCTCCACCTCTTGGACTGATTTGTAAATACAGGAAAAAAAAAGTGTGGCTACCTAGTCCTGAGTCCCTTAAAGGACAGTTGTCAAGAATGTCAGTGATAGCACCTTGGCCTGGGTGCCCCTCCCCTGCCCACAGGGCTACTCTGGCCAAAGCTGTGGAGGCTGTGAGGCCTGCTTGTCCTGCATTCCCAGAATACTTACTTTCTGAGTAAGCCCCACCATTTCCACTGAATGGAAGAATTGAGCTGTTCCCAAGTGTTTTCAAGCCCCTGCCCACACAGATACAGAAGTTAGGCACTTTTAAAACAGGAAGAGGAGAGGCACTGTTTCCCCCTTTAAACATACACAAGCCTAACAAAGATCCAAACCAGGCTCTTTGCCTGGGGTGGAAGTAACAAAGTGCTTCCTGCTATTACTCATTGGTTCACAATGGAAAAGCTCCCAAGGACACGTCAGATTCTAGTTTAGTTGTCTCTCTTTGCATACAAGGAAACTGAGGCCCACAGGGAAAGACCTTTGTCTAAGGTCTCATAGAAGTTTACTGATAAAGCTGAACAGACCTGGGCCCAAGTCTGCTAGAGCACATCTCAAAATTTTCCTTCCATCCCACTCTGTTTCCTTGTTAGGGCAGATGATTGGAAGCCAAGCAACAGGGACCATTGTCAGAAGGAGGAGGTGGGTAAAAGAAACCAGGAAAGAGGCTTGAAGACCCTTAGTCAGGACCTCTGCTGACTGTGTCCCCTCACCTGTTCTCAGGGTGCTCCTAGGGCTCCTAAGCATCTGAGAGGTGATATTACCTAGAGGTACCTGTCCTTTGCTGAACTTGAAGCACAGGGGTCTTTGACTAGATGCTGGGTCATTGGGGCATCAGAAAGGGACATGGGTCCTAGTGTCTCTAGCAGCCTGCAGAGCAGTATAGGGCAGACTCAGGTACTCTGACCTAGCGATGCATCCTGAAGAAGGCAGCAGACACTCAGAATGCTTGGACAGGAGGTGGGGACAGGAGTCAGACTGAGTGTAAGGCCCAGTTCTTCAGCTACTTAACCTCTCTAAGACTTATAGAAGGATGTTAATTTAGGGATCAAAGTAGGTGGTATTTGTAAAACATCCAAGTGTTTGGTAAATATTAGCTAAATCCACAGTTCACAATAAGGGATCAAGTGGCAGGTAGCAATGGCTTGCAGCCCGTCTCCTACACTGTCTGTGGAATGGCATCTGTTCTGTGGTTCCAGTGAAGTTGCCATCAATTTCCTTCGAGACTCTGCTTTACAGTCCATTTCATAGGCATCTTTAGCCTCTGTCTGTCTCCTCCACATCCAATTTTACAGACGTAAGTGTGTAGAGTCCAAGGAGCCCCACAGTTAAGAGACTTCTGCAAGGTCCAGTTTCTGGCCCCAACTTTGTTTTGTCTCTTCCAGATTCATGTGCTCGCAGCTGCCCAACCAGGTTCTCAAGAGCATCAGCATCATCGACAGCCCTGGCATCCTGTCTGGGGAGAAGCAACGCATTAGCCGAGGTCAGTGCCCTGGCTGCACCCCACCCACCCTCTCCGGAGCTGTCTGAGGTCCCTCAACGATGAGTAGAACATTTCTGCTCCTGTCTCATTCTTTCCACCCTCCAAGACAGCCACAGCTCAGGGCCTCCAGTAGTATCCTAGGCAGCCAAAGAAGCCCCAAGAAACAAGTGAGGAGGTATCATAGCGTCTGCCATTTTAACTAGTACTGGGCTCAGGTAAATATCCAGCATCCAAAAGGAGAATACCCCTTGGTAAGTGTTCACTTGGACACGTGACATTCCTCCCACTGGTATGTATTTCACCCCAGGAGCTCTAGAAGCATCTTGCGGTGAGGCAGCTTTTACTAGGCAGACACTATCCTGTGCATGGGAACACAAAAGAGATAGGCATGGATTCTGCCTGTGAGGAACTAGAAATGAAGCAGACTTTCTTCATGTTGTCATAGAACTAAATGAGGATTAGGTGAAACACCACGAACTGTAGCCCGATATCAAGGTATGACGGAGCCTGGCCTGGTGTAGGAGTGTGGAAAGAGGCACCCCTGAGGCAGTGACGTTTGAACCAGGATCTGAAGGATGAGTAAGGGTTACTCAGAGGAAACCAATGTGGAAAGAGCCCATATGTAGGAAAATCAGAAAGTGCGTGGACAATGACATGGGTTCTACTGTCTTGACAGACAAGGCCATGGTAATTCATAGTTGTTCCAGACCTGGCCCAACTTCCAGAGAAAAAGTCATGGGATAGATCCTAGGATAGCAGCATAGGGAAGAAATGCCTGACCAGAAGAGTTTAGGGTGGATCCCAAGGTTATGGTTGTGAGATGAGTCAAGCAAGCCCACCCCCACACCACCCTTGGAAGGAATGCATACTTCCGAGGTGCTCTGCTGCTGGCACTTGCTAAAATAGTGTCACAGCCCTTTGCACAGCATGCCAGGGAAACCATGTATGCCAAACTTGAGTGGTGGCCAGTCTGGAGTCAGCCATGAATGTGACCAGAGTGAATTCCTCACAGTCCAGGAAGCAAAAGCGTAGTTGCTCAGTCCAGGCAAGCTGCTTGCTGGCATTGAAAGGGCTTCTGTGGCCAGTGACCCTCCTTCCTTTGGCATTCTGTGGATTCACTGAGAGCGGGGTCTAGCTGAACTAAGACCTTCCCAAGGCTCATCCAGTGGTTCTTCACTGATTTTCAAAGGGACGCTTAACAGTGCCATATTAGCTACCTTGAATCTTCACAGAATCTGATATTTAGAGAGAAAAACAAAACAAACAAAAACCAGGCTTACACTGGTCTTCTCTCATGAAGATCTTTGTTGTTATTTTCTATTATACAAATAATAGCTATTGCAAAGAATTCAAACAAGTAAGGAAGAGGAGAAACATTGTCACAACAGTTCTTCCTACATATCTAAACACATAATTCCTAATGCAAATGCAATTTTCTGCAGCTGACATTTTGCCATAATGGTCTCCATGGGCTTAATGAAAGGAGCATACATATTTTAGTTAAAGAATAATGTGGCTGTCACAGTGTTACCACCTTTTAATTCTTACAAAGAGTATTACAGGTTTTGTTTTTTTGTTTTTATTAGAGCTTTATAACTCAGGCAGTACCCATAAATGATTTTTGTTTTGTTTCATTTGAGACAGTCTTACGTATCTCAGGCCATTGATACCCTGGCTCAAAAAAAAATATAGATAGCACCTGAGAAATGACAACTGAAGTTATCTTCTGACTGCCACATACATGGACATGCATGCACATGCACATTTGTGACCAAGCATGTGTACACAAACACACACATGCACACATGCACGCACACACGCACACATACCCCAGTTTGGAACCACTAACATGAAAGGCTGGTGACATGTTTTGTTTGGGGGGGTGACAAATGCTACAGTTTTTCTGAGCTATCCCAATTTACTGTTTCTACATGTCTGACTTAAGTATTCTAGAGAAATACGTGACCCTGATAAATCTTTTTACCACAAAATTTTAGGGTCTGTAGGGTGTGGCTTCTACCTTATCTCCCTTTTTCCCCATTGTCAGGCCTTTGGACAATGCTCACCTACCATATTCTTAGTGTTTCTCTTTTTTATAGTAATTGCAAGTATCTTTCATACTGTAGCTCCTTCCCAGTGGTGCTGAAGCTTGGCATGATGCTTCTAGTATGCTTTGAAGATCAGTTTCTTTCAACACTTGACATGATCTGACTCACATCCTGGTCTGACTTACTGTACACTCATATCCTATGCCCAGAAATAGCACATATGGCCCAAGCCCACCAGCTGGTCCCTGGCATTCTCGGGGACACAGCAACTGTGGGGAAGGATCTTGCACTCTAAGCAACTGTGCTGTGTGCGATAGCACATGGTGTTGGGGACCTAGTTGGTGGTTGGAGTCACTCAACTGACATATTTAATCTATTAACTACAAAGATTATATAGTGTCTTAAACAATCTTACACATCTCACATGTGTTCAGACTAATGTCTTTCTGTCCAGCTTGTAGTACCGCCCTTTGCTAGCAATTAATGTCAGCACAGCCAATGAAGTACTTCTCAACTGTGACTCCACAGACATTAAAAACATTCCATGATGACTTTATTGGTAGGTATCTGACTCCTTGCAGATGTTTTGCCTGTAAAAGAGGAAAGGGAGTGCTGACGTGTCATCCCCACTCTTCCTTTTCCTTTTTGCAATTGATGGGTTAACCTTAATAAGCCTTGTAACTTACTCTATCATGCAATAAAGGAGACTGCTTGAAGTGGATATTTGTAATAATGTAACAACCATGGTATGCTAAACCCTTGCTATATGTCACTATAAACCTTGTTAGTCATCTGGGATTTATTATTTAATTTAAACCTCAACTTAACCATGAATAGACAGAACCAAAGACTCCTCACCCTTCCACGTCTGGGAGAGTAGCCTTGAAAGCAGTTGTGAGAATTTTTCCCAGTTGCCAGGCAGATGTGTGACCAAGTTTGAGACCTGAGGAGCATGGTAAAAATCACTGACAGTGTCACATTTGGAGAACAGACTCAGGAGAGTGGCTTTTCCAGCATTTGCTGACAGCCTAAGATGTGTGGAAGCTAGCCCACTATCGTATGTGTTGAGAGTCTGCAGAGGTTCTGCTGGGAAGAAATGGCAACTGTGGGAGAGAGGTGTGTGTGTGTGTGTGTGTGTGTGTGTGTGTGTGTGTGTGTGTGTGTGTGTGTGCTGACTGATGAGCACACCCAGAAGAAGTACTGACTCCTGAAAACTCAGTGTCTTCCTTTAGCTTGGGACCAAGCAGATCATAAGGAGCATTATGCTACTCTGCTGCAGGTCACATTCAACTGGATGGACCTGAACTGGAGAGCTGGCTTCACATCACCCTGGCAGTATTCATGCACATTACCCAGAGTAATGAAGACCAGGGTTCAGAAATTTAAGATACTTTAATGGTAAGAGCAGAAATAGGGACTTTTGAAACTGGGATTCAGTCTTGTGCCTTCCTTTGTCTGCAGCTCTACACACCCATGTTAATTCTCTCACTGCATTATAAGCCCAGTGTCTTTATTCTGTGCTGGGTAAAAGGGCAAGTGTGGTTATGCGGGTGATGTGAGTGTTTTGTACACATTCCTCTTCTCTAGGCCAGTCACAGTGAGAGAAGAAATGTGTGAGGTTTCTGAGTGATACTTTGTATTTTACAGTGTTGGGTTTGATGCAAAGCATGTCCAACCCACTCTTAGGCCAGAAGCAGCCTTTGCAAGTTAGATGCCTCTGCAGAATCTGACAGACAGTAGCAGTGACCCCAGAAGCCAGGACATTGTACTCCATGCCTCCTGCCCCTTGTTGGAGTGTTCTGTGCTCCAGAGTCAACAAGAATGTTGACAATTAGGTAATTGGTTTTGAAGTAACTGTTTTATGCCACTCCATATAGAAATCCTTTAGATGTGCTAGTTTAATCATAATTAGCAGAAAACCTTTACAAGCAATTAGGTTTATTTACTAAATTATAGCATTTCTTGGTATGAAGGATTGAATGCTTATCAATCAGGAATAAAAATAATCAGATGTATTTATAATAATTTTATTGAGATCAAGTAACAACTACCTACAATTCCTACAGATGTTTTTGCCAATAAAAGAATGTGTGGGTTTTTCTGAAATGGGCTGGTAAATTCTGAGCTAGTTCACTTTTCGGCACTCCTTTGCCCCAGTGACAGCATCCAGATTGTGTGACAAGAAGGAAGAGCTTACCCACATGCACATCCTTGTTTTCACTCCCAGTCTGTTGCCATTCCGCTCTCAGACTGTTTGCTTCCTCGACTACTGTTTATTCCCTGCAGAACGTAAACATCACCTAGGGTTTATTCCTGGACTTGGCATGAAAGCCAGTATGTTCTCAGCTACTTGGGACAAACCTCTTCAAGTCTAGCTCCAATCATAGCATTTATGTCTGAGCAAAACACAGAGGAAAATTGTAACATGGCTGTCAGTGTCCTTGTTCATCTCTGTAGCACAGTGGCATTGAGGTGCTATTTTAGTTGCATATAATTCTTCCTTTAGATTCCAGAGACTGAGATTTGTATTGAAAGACTTGATTGTGGCAACAAAAATAGAACAATTTTTCCACTCTAAAAATGAAAAAAAAAGCCAGTCATGTTGGCTCATTTTATAATCCCAGAACTTGGTAGACTGAGGCAGGATTTAGCAAATTCAAAGATGACCTAGGGTACATAGTAAATTTGAAACCAGCCTAGGATCCTGTCTCAAACAACAAAATGAAGCTAAACCTTTGATTGGCAAGGGGTTCACACCTACAATTCTAACACTTAGGAAGCAAAAATTTGAGGCAGACTAGCCTGGGCTACAGAATGAGACCTGTCTCAAAACAGAATAAAAAAAGTGCAAAGAAGTCCAGAGGGGAAAACAACCTCTTGTCTTGACTCTTCTATCAAATCTACTTTCTCTCCCAGGGTTCATACTCATCGAATGAAAACTGAATTTCTTTC